ATATATATATATATAATTCATCTCCCCACTCTTACACAAAATTGTCTTAATCTCTATAATATATAAAATTTTGATTTAAAATAACCTGTACTCATTTTACCCTTTGAATTAAAAGAAACGGTCAATGATTTTTCCCTGTTGAAAAGAAAAAAAAATATTCGTTATCCATTTATCTATATCTAAAATTTTAAATATTAAAAAATTAACTATTCTTACAAACTCAAAATTTAAACTCGAAATCTTAATATTTGAATACTAAATACTATATTAGTTACTACTGTCGGCGGTGGATACTCCAGGGACGAACCAAAAAAAAAAATATTATATTAGTTGATTCAACAAATAATAGTGATTCTTAAACACTTTTAAACAAATATAGAAACATAAAGTATCTCAATCTCAATAGTAATAATAAAGGGAATTATTTCATTTGGTATTCACGAATTATGTACCCATTTTATTTATTATTAAAAAAAACAGTCATAAAACTGTCATAAATATAAAAATAACAAAAATTGGTATAAAAAATTATTTATTTTCTCCCAGAAGCATGTAGTGTTTTTTTTCCTACTCATCATTATAATCAGAATAAACTTGGCATAAGGAATGAAGGTTCAAAATAAGATGTCTGATACATAGCTTTTCCAAACAAATAAACCAAATATATATATTCAAGACATATAAGACAAATGTTAAAGATCAATGTGAAAGAATACAACAAAAATTAACGAGTAGGATTGACGTGGACGATGATAATAACAAAAAATATTTTAGAAATAGCCATATATACTCTAAATATTTATATATTATGATTTATATTGTTTTAAATGTTTCTTTAAATTAGTTCTTTTATTTTTTTGGAAAAATATACGTTACTAAATTATTGACTCTGATTGTGGATGCATTGCAGTTGCGGAGATCACATACAATATTTGATGTTGCAGACACAATTATGGTTATTAAAAAAAAAAAAAAAAACTTGTCTTAAGATGGGTATTTTTTTAACTTATATTTAGATAAAAAGTAATTTCATTTACAATACTGTGACTATGGTTGGTTCAACATATTTTTTACATATATCTAAGATCAAATACAAAATTTTTTGTTAAATAAATCTTCTACATAACGTATGAATGCAAGATATCTAACCACAATTTAAAATTATGGAATGACTAATTAATTGGTCCTATGCAAGAAAAATGATGCAAGTGCAAAAAATAAAGAATTATATATGTGAGATGATACCCTTGTGAAGAATTGAAGGTGAGTCCAACGGTGTACTTTGCTTCCTCAATAGCCAATTTGAAACGGCGTTGGTCGTGGAGGGTCCATTTTGTATTGTTGATGAGACGTAATTGAGATGGCTTAATGTCCACAAAGATGGGTATCACCTTCTTCCTGCACTCCATCAGAAGGGACAACTCGTGAAGGCAAAAGTAGGACTCACAATAGCGTGGTGATATCACAGCCAACCCAATCTTGCACTCCACGATTGCACTCTTTATTTTATCAAACAGTTTGTCACCTGCCTTCATAGTCTTGTTGTCCAAGAATGGGTGAAACCCTAGTCTGCAAACACGTGTGAAATCAATTCATGTATTTCTTTTTTTATCCATCGATTGGAATTACGAGAAATTATTATACTTGGACCATCTCATACCTAACTAGTGTATATGACGTGTGATCAAATTTTATAATTAAATCTTTTTCTTAGATTGAAAAACTCAAGTGCAATAATATAGTGATTAGTTAAGATTATGGGTATTTAGTAGTCTTAAATTACCTAATAATTTATCCCAAATTATAATGTTTATAATAAGATTCAAACTAGCTATTATATTACTTCAATCACTTACCATTTAAACATTTGTAAATGGAAAGAAAAAGATTGAAAGATAGAATAGCTGTTTATAGAGATGTAACACAGGTAGATGATGATACTCAAAGTGAAAAAGAAAGAGAAAATGTAATTTTATATATTATGTATTGTATTAAACTATTTAATAGGTGATAAAGATGAATGATAATATAATAATAGTGTAAAGAAATTTTACATAATCATTCAATCACAATCAATCATAATGATGCATTTGTATGATTTTTAAATCATATCTTTTTTATCGATTACATGTATAAATTTTTTTTATATGAACAGTGTATCATTATTAAATTCTAAATATTATGATGTTATATAGAAAAAGATATAGAACGAAATAATATATACACTTGGATATACGAGTTTTTTTAAGGATCATCACTCTTAAACATTTTTTTCTTTTTGAAGAGCAACTTTTAAACATTTTTTTTTCATAATGTATGGATACTACAAGTTGATACCTTAAGAAAGAAAGAGAGAAGAGCAGGTGCGATAGTTTTTAATAAGTTTAGGTAATATATAATATAAATAAATAAAAGTGCCAAAATTGTATTGCTAGCTGGCACTCTTCTACAAGGGAGAGAGAGAGAGAGAATAGGTATTAATAAAATGTTTGCGATGTTGAAGTATATATCTGCCAATAATTACCTTTTTAATCTCTTTAATATGACTTCCTTCGATAATAATAGTTAAAAAAAATATTGATTTTAATAATCATAAATTTTAAAAATAATCTCTATGCCACTTAATGGTGATATCAGATATGTCATGTACATGGCATAATTAGGAACACGTTACTCACCATCCTTGATGGTGACAGTGATGTTTTAAAAAATTGAAATTTACAAAGACAAAAACAAAAACTTAAAAGATCAAAATCATATAAAATTATACTTACTAAAATTAAAAGCATATTTTCGTTCAAAAACAAATTATAATATACATAATTATATTAAAAATTACAACACTGCAAAATTATTTAATATAAAAACTAGAACTTACAAATATATAACTTTAAAAAAGAAAATGAGGAAGAAGGGTCCTCCATAAAACAAGGTATAGTTGGTGTAACAGAGATTAATTAAAAGCATAGTATTACAAAAAAATGTCATAAATAATACAAGTATATATGAATTAAATCCATCCATGCCTGCGAAGATGATCATAAATAGGAGCAGCTAGAGTTGTTTTTGTATCCAAGCTTCTGTGGTTTATGAACACGTCACAGGGATCCACAACAACAGGTTTTGGCACCACTTGATTCATTTGTGTTTGCATTTGATGGCTGATAAACCTAGATTGGATGTTCATCGACAAGGAACGTTGCATGATGCTATGCTATGTTACTGCTATTGCTTTCTTCCAATAATTATATTTATGACTTTTTATATTTGCTGCTCTTTCTTTTGTCTTTTTTATACAAGGAGAAGCGTAAAAGAGTTAGGTAGTGTTGAGTTCCTTTTATAGACTTGCTAAATGAATTTTTTATTCTCTTTCTTCCCTTTGGCAATTTCGTATTGTGTTCTTCCTGTGGAATATGGTTCTATCTTGGTGGATATATTATATAATTTTGATTGAAAGCCAGAATGTTCATGGAAAAAGCTTTGGCGATCAATCCTTTAATAATGTGTAGATTTTGGGTACATGGTAAAATGAATCGAATTTGAAAAGTTTTTTAATCTGGTACTTATAAGGCTTGTCTTGCAACACAAGGATTAATTTACATTATTAGAAATTTTCTTATTACATGTGATTTTTTATGCGAATTTTATATAAAAATTCGCAATAAACATTATTTTTACGAATTTTTCTGTAAAATTTTATCTCTAACAATACCTTCGTGGATAATATGTTTTTGTGAATTTTAAAATTCGTAAGAAGTTTTCTTGCAGAATTTTTTGCAAAAAAATTCGTAGGGAAGTTTTCTATGAAAAAAAATTGTAATAAAGTATCCTGCCAATTTTTCGCGAGAAATTCTGCAGGAAAAGTTTTTACGAAAAAATCAAAGAAATTACTACAACTTCCACGTCTCCACCATGTGATACATAACCTTTTAAATTCTTAGATTATAAATTATAAGTCTAGCACTCAACCATACAAATCAACTTTTAAGGTAAGTGTTACCCCAATTTAAATACTCTTTAACTATTTTATTTTTGATCGATGTGGAACTTGAAGTTTTCTTCAAATATTAATTAGATCATGTCTTTAGAAAAATGATTAATTCATTATATTGACAACACAATTATATTATTATAAATTATTTTAACTCATAAAATATTTAATATTCTAAAAATATAGTTTTTTATTAAATAATTTTATTTTAAAAATTATCATTAAATTAAAACTCATCATCATTAATTTATACATTTATTAAGATAAATATTTAATTTCTAAATATTTTAATTTTATTAAGTAAATACTTTTAATTTTAAAATTTTATAAATTATCATTAAATTAAAACTCATTATCATTAATTTATCATATTTATAAAATTTTATATATTTAATTTAATTAAAAATAAAATTAATTATAATGATATATTTATAAATAATTTGGTAAAATAAAAATTTTTAATTAAAAATCTTTTAGTTATTAAACTTATAAATTTAAACATTTTTTTATTTTTCTGCAGATTAATATTGGCAACAAAATCTGCAAGAAAAGTTACTTGAAAATTTTTTCTACCATTTAGTAAACAATACTTGCGAATTTATTTTTACAAAAAAATCTGCAAGAAACAAAATAAAACTCTTACAAAATTTTTTGCAAATATTTTACTATGAAATTTTTTTTCTAAAATCATTAAAATTGTAGCAAAATTTGCAAAAATTTCTTGTACATTATTTTTCATAAAAAAAATTGTAAGAAATATCTGTAAATTATTTTTTACAAATAAATTCATAAAAAGATTGTGAAATTATTATTGCAAAAAAATTTGCAAAAAAATTCTACGAATATATTTTTTTGTAGAAAATTCGCAAAAAAATGACATTTTTCTAATAGTGTTAGTACTTATTCGATTTCTATTTATATTAAAATAATATTTGATCAATAAAAATCACTTTTTACGAATATAGCTGAATTGTTGATTGTCAACTTTAAAATACTACGTAGATTAAATCCGTGAAGAAAAAAAGATAATTGGATTGATTCATTTAATTTTGGGTTGGGTTATAGTTGAAATTTTTAACTTATTTTAAAAATAGGTTTAATTCCATTAGTGTATCACTAAGTGTGTAAATCAATTGGTACAAAATTGTTTTAACTTTAAAGTAAGTTCAACACAACCTAATCCTAATTCATTTTTGATTCATGCTTTAAATAAAGAATTATAACTGAAAATATCACTTTATTCCTAAAGGATTGATTCGATAGAAAAAAAATTATATTTTCTTATCAAATTAAATAAAAATAAAAAATTTGATTTGATTAGGTTAATTCATTTTGTCATCTCTAAACTTTGCAACTGAATATTCCTTATAGATTCAATGTTGAGTAAGAAAACCATTCAAACACGGTGAGGATTTCTATTTCTTTGTTATGTGGACATGACCCATAAACACATTCTTACAAGTTAAAGTTGATCGTTTGAACCAAAAAAAAAAAAAACACTTATCCGATTATGCGTTGAACAGTTATAATAATTAAGAGAATGACAAAATAAAGCATTTAAGTGATTAAGTAGTGCACCTTTCCTTCATTTTATGCTCAATTTCTAAGTTTTTTTCCTTTTGGGTTTGACCATTTAACCTTTGGTGAATAGCACATAAAGAATACACCTTAAATATTAGTCAATCCCCATATCAGCTCATTGGCTTGCGCCGGCATATAAGGATTAGAGAAGACAACCTAAGAGCTTCTTTTAACTCTTTTATTTATTCATTTATAGTCATTATATAAGTTTCATTATCCCAAATTCATCAAAGAAACCTAGCAATATCAAAATATGGCTTCATTGTAACACCCAAATTTTTATTATTATTTTAATGGCATTTTCGTAATTTTAATAAAGTTATAGGGGTATTTTGGGATCAGCTATAGCCTTAACTCTCTCGAACACTTCTTTTTGGTTCAGGCTTCATGGCTGCAACTTTGGCTTTGGAGCTATAGCCTTGGATTTCCAACTTCATCTAAATCTACACAAAAAGGAAATATTTTCAACCAAAGAAACTACACTCTTGTAACTCCTTAGATTAATCTTAGTTTATCTATTTGGAGGGTCAAATACAACTAAATTTACTTACATCTCTCCCAAAAAGAGTGCCAAATTAAGCATAAAAATATGCAATTTGAGCACTTATCA